GAGCTACGAAGGGCAGGAAATTGTGGAGAGCCATGATCACTACAGCATATAAAGAAGAATAAGAAGTAGTGGAGCGTAACCGTTTCTAAACTTGCGATTACGTTTTGTTAATTCCCCCTTTTTTTCGTATTTCCACCGATCAATGTTTTCACTCTAAGACGTTTATGGTGATAATTATTGTAAAGGTTTATGTATCAAAATTGCTTTATTAAATGAAAAAACGTAGACTTTATTTCAAAGGGCCATCAAAGTTATATTTAATTAAATACGTAATTCCTTTAATGGTAAAATCACACTTTACATTTGAAATTCCTTCCTCGGGAGCCAGTTACCTCCCATTGGAAATCACTTTCCTAGATAGAAAGTGATAAGAGAGAAAACATATTTGTTTTTTGCTTGTTTCCTGTTTTTATACTTGTAAATGGAGCAAAAGCGACGTCCATTGCGACCTTCGGAGAAATGTGGCAGATTTTTCTTTTATTGTTTCAGTAATTATCAAAAACTAATTTGCTTCGTTCTAGCAATAACGGATTTTGTGAAAAAAAAATTCTTCAGGTGAACCGGATTTTTCGGGAAGTTTTGTTAGGTCGATTTGGGATAAAATTCAGATGACTACTCGTTTTAATGATTTTGTTCATTTTAGCTTACATTTTTATTTCCCCGACTTTCATTCTTTTATTAGATTTTTTCTGTTAGATAGTGTTTCTTTTTCGCTGTTTCTTTTTTTTTATTTTAATTTTGACTACTTTTCTTTCTTTCTTTCTTTCTTTCTTTTTATTTTGTCTCTCTTTCTTTCTTTTCCTTCATTAGCATTTCTTTTTCCTTCATCTTTTACTGTTCCCAAATCCTTTCTTATTTGAGTAATTGTTCTCTGTTTGTATAATCATTCATTGTTTGTTTTTTTCTATTTTTCTTGCCATTCGTTCTTGTCTTTTTAGTGTATTCGTTTCACTTTTTGTATTTAGTGTTTCTCACAATCAGTCTTATTCAGTTTTGCTTCTTTCAATCTTTCCGCCATTTTGAAATATTTTTACCCCTTTCATTCTTTTGCTTAAACGATATTTTTCTCTCTAAACTCTCTCTCTCACTCTCTCTAAACTCTCTCTCTCACTCTCTCTAAACTCTCTCTCTCACTCTCTCTAAACTCTCTCTCTCTCACTCTCTTCGTTAGTCTTTGTCTCCTTTTTATCAATGTTTTTTCTTCTTCTTTCTTGATCTAATTAATTAATGCACTTAACTCGCTAATTGATGAAGGCAAACAAAGAACAGCTAAAAAAGTATCCCATGACCCTTTGCATTTCAGAGGCGATGCAGCCTTTTACAGATGCACTAAGGGAGGTAATCATTTTCTGTTTTTCTTTTTCTTTTTTCGCTTATTGTTAGTTCAATTTTCACGTGTATCCATAATCGAAGCTCCGATTGCTTCTTGGATTTGCACACTTTCTAAAAGATGCTTTCCTCATGATCCATTTACGAAGAAGAAGAAAAAAGTGACTGACAGTCGCGTAATGCATTTGTGCGTTGGCGCACACGCGCGAGTTTCGTGATAAAAACAGTAGCCGAATCTGCATATGCAGATTCGCGTACTTCTCAATTGTCAACGCACATATGTGAGAATTCGTTCGCGCATAAGATCGAAAATGCAAAGCGTCATTAATAAAAAATCAAGGTTTCAGTGAACACTCACTAATACGTACAGCAAACCCATTCTAGCATATATATATATATATATATATATATATATATGAATTTTTTTTTTTATAAAATATATATATATATATATATATATATATATATATATATATATATATAAATATATGAATGGATTTTTATATATATATATATATATATAATTATTTATTCGAAAATTATAACATAAATATGTTATAAAATCGCTACAATTTTGTTTCAACACTTCTGGTATCTTATCAAGTGATGTTAAATGTAGAATAAAGGGTTTTAAAAGGTTCAAATTTGATAGTACAGTCGACAAAATAAAAAATAAACAACGCTCATGTTCGAAATTAAAAATATAAAATTGCGACAATTTACCCATCGCAACCTATATATATATATATATATATATATATATATATATATATATCTGTGCATATGCATGTACACATAAATCAATGAACTGTATTACTTTTTTTTATAAAAATCGCCTGAGTTATACCGTAAGGTTGCAATGAAGGTAGGGGATCAACTAACCTTCTGATTTGTAAAATATATATATATATATATATATATATATATATATATATATATATATATATATATATTAGTTAAAAAAATATGATTTCTTCGCTAAATAAGAGTTCTCATATTTCAAAAAACGACAGCCGAAAACATCAATATAATTATTAAAATTAAATTGAATTTTATTACAATTAAATTTAAATTGAGTTAACGTATCAAGCCCTGTTTCATCCTCAAACGAAAATTTAAGCTCTACTTCTGTATGGAGCACAGTTTTTAAAAAATAAAAACAAAAATACTAAAGAACACCGGATTATTTACCTAACGTGTTCTTTCCTATTTTTCTACATATCTGCACACACAGACACACAGACACATATATATATATATATATAATGGATTTTTTTTTTATTATTAATCCAATATATTTGTATAACTTTAAACGTTATTTTTATTGAATCCTCGTATTTAAATTGGTGCTCGGTTCATTTATTAAACAGTATATTTATTTATTTTCGTCTACCGGTCTGAATGTTCGAGAAATCTTATTACAGAAAATTTTACGCTCTCTGGCAGATTTTCATCCTTGAACGATTACGTTCAAGGATAAAACAGGCTGCCGATTGTGGGTGCTGACTTCAATGTCTACTTTATTATTGACATGCGCTATATCCATGATACTGAGCACTTTAACCAATAAATATAGCATATCGTAAAACTATATTTTTCACACACACACACACACACACACACACACACACACACACACACACACACACACATATATATATATATATATATATATATATATATATATATATATATATATATAAAATTTATTAGCGTTAAACTGTAGAAAATTTGTAAATGTAAAATAAGGTGACACCGTGTTTCCAAACAGGAGCCTTTATTTAACTCTCTTGATAATATATATATATATATATATATATATGTGTGTGTGCGTGTGTGCAAATTATATTCATATTGTAATATTGACGTAATTTTCATTTGACAATATGAATATAATAGCGTTTACTAAATTCTTACAATTGCTATGGACATTTTGTTTAGTTATTATTAGTTATTTTGTTTTAATACATTCATTTCCACATTGGACGAAATGCGTCGGCTAATATTACAGTTTCCTATTGTCGTTATATATATATATATATATATATATATATATATATATATATATTATCAAGAAAGTTAAATAGAGGCTCCTGTTTGGAAACATGGTGTCACTTGATTTTATCCAGAGGCAAGAGTGAGCCCAGCTTGCTATGCTATTTATCGCATAGCTCAAAACAGATGGATGCATGCCTTTTCAAAATTTATTAGCACGAAATGTAAGCAATATCAGTCTAGCTGAGGTCTTGTTAAATTTAAAACAACTGGACCTGTCACAAAAATGGGTCCGGAACATCTATTTTTGACCAATGGTTATCAGTATGGTGAAGTGGGCTTCAACGAGCCGACGAGAGAAAGACATGTCGCTGGATGAAGATAATTTTTTTTTTTTTAGACGAAGACAACAGGACAAAGACCCATGCTAGGTATAAAACTAACCATAAGCAACTCATTCCCTTCATATCCCATTTTTGAGTTGTAAGTTCCACACGAGCAGCTTCTTCCTTCCTACCGCTGCTTTATGGAATTGACTTCCAAGAGGGTGTTTCTCCGATCGATACAATCTTAACCTGTTCAAGTCCTTTTCTTGTTATACAGAAAATTAAAAGGATTACTTAGATAGGATTATCTTTATTCGGTCGAGCTAGCTCGGACATTAATGAATCAATCCCGGAAACCATCACGTTCCTACATCAAGATCGGAAAGTCATTAGTGTGGCATTCTGTGTCATAACATAGTTGGTCAATGTAGGTGTTTGCCAGCCTTGGCGCAAAACCGGCTGGTCGACCAGCAACCACCACGCTTCCACAAAACTGAATTTCTTCGTACGCGATCAGTCACAGATATTATTTACACACACACACACAAAATAAAAAAAATACTATATTGAAACTACCACAATGGTCCTCTCGCAAGCCAGACTGGTCGTCTCGCGAGCCAATTTGGACATCCCTCTAACCACACTGGACGTCTCGCGGGCCAAACTGTAAGTCTCACGGGTCACACTGGTCATCTGGTGGACCACACTGATCATTTCGTGGGCCATACTGCTCGTCTCGCGGGACATGCTTGTCTCTTGTTTGGGCCACACTGATTATCCCGCTGGCCAGCGTGATAATCTCGCGCGCCACACTGGTTGTCTCGCTGGCCCAACTGTCATATCACGGGTCACAGTGGTCATATCGTGGGCCGCACTGGTCGTCTCGCTGGCCCCACTGATCGTATCTTGTGGGTCACACTGGTTATCTCGCACACCATACTGCTCGTCTCCTGCCGCCACATGCGGCCGTGTTAATCCAACAACTCATTTCAATCTGAAATTGTGTGTACATATGTGCATGATTTAATGGCACAGTTATGTCAGAGTCACACACGCACAGCACAGACACACACACACATGCATTACATACGCGAATGCAAGCACGTAGACACTATGACGGACAGAGACTCAGGTCTTCTTTTATAATATAGATTAACAACCACTTAGAATCGCTTTTTTACTCCAAAAGGGACAAATCAAATTATGGCGTTCCCTGATGTTTGCAGGCATCTGTTTATAAATTGGCTTTCTGAGATATGTTGAAATTTTGGAAGTCTGTGTTGTTTGGCACTGCGAATATTCTTTGAAATGTGCTACAACTTGGTGGTGAACACTCATAATGCAAGATCTCGAAGTTGAAACACCGGTTCCCATACGATCACAGATGTTAAGCAACGTCGAGTCTAGTCAGTACCTAGATGGGTGACCGCTAGGGAATACCAATGCTGTAAGTTTTTTTGCACGTGCGAATGGTGGGATTGGCACGGAATTATTAATCGAGGAGACGATTTTCAATTCCAGCTGAGTTTGATATATTCACTTATTATGACAGAGAGAGTCTGGGAAACACACACACACACGCGCGCGCGCGCGTTCGCGCGTATATCTGTTTTAGTGAAATTGGAGTGGATTTGAACAGTGAAATTAGATCAGAGCATTTTTGTTTACTGATGGGGAAACCTGATCTAGGGCAGGAGACAATGGAAATGGACGAAATAATTTTTATTGATTAAAACTTGGAATAGAGCTGAGTAAGCAAGGAGGACCTTTAGAATTCACATGATTTTGGTTGAAACAGCCAAAACCCTGTGATAATCGCGTGCGAAGCTGTAGGGCCAAGGTTCAGTTGTAACCAGCTGAATTTTTCTATATAAACACGTAGTTATGCTGAAAAAGAGGCAGACGGAAGAAGCAGATGGAAGAGAGTCACAGAAGAGAATTAGACCGGGCAAGAGTTGGGCTAGAGACAGTGGAGAGTCGAGTTGGAGACTCAAGAAGGAGAGATCAAGACGAACGAAGCGTCCGCTAACATGAACTGTTGATATAAGTACCGTTGCTTCTGCTACCACGAATATTACTACTACTGTTACTACTACTAATCTTATTCCCCCATTGCAATAGTCGTATATCGTTCTGAGACGATTTAACAACAAGTTGATCATAACACACACTCTCTCTCTCTCTCTGTCCAGAATCCAGTGTATGTGTTTTTACGTCAATTACTTTTCTTTTCTGTAACCCGTTTCTTTTCTATACTATTCTTTTTTGCTATATAAAAGACATTAACAATTCAATCATTGAATAGTTCTGCAGATATTTTTTTTGTTGCTGCATTCTAAATTTCTTAGTGCAGATTCTCCAGCCGTGTCTACCTCTTCAGTCGACCGTGAATGGATGAACATCACTTCTGCTTTCTGGATCAAACCAAACACAACGTGGGCAGGAAACAGGATTAAACCAGTGGACCGGTCGAATAATCTACGGATGCTCGCATTGAATATTTTGAGCCTTCTGATTGGTTAACCTTTCTATTGGTTAAATATAAAATGAGTTAGCTCATTTTGGCTAGCTCACTAGTACACCAAGGTACCCAAATATTCCAACAGAATTGTCTGCAAAGGGTTAATAAGACGTAGTAAACGAATCAATCAATGTTTATATGCTATTTTTCAGTTGAGTGTTGCATTTTTTTTACTTGGTGCCTTAATTCCGAGAAGAATTCCTATACCTCAATTTTGCGTTCTTCCAATTCTACTATATTTTGAATGGACTCTTCCTAATACTATGTATACTACGTCTCTCAGGAGAGAGGGTCGTATTGAGTCGAGCAGATAGTAGTTCACTCCAAACCAGACTGACAATCATACTAACACCTTTCACATCTTGTATTATTATTTCATGTAATATACCTTCGTTATTTTCTACTCTTGTGTTCGTGTTGTTCTTCCTTGGTCCTAACCTGGACCATAACAAATCTGTAAACAAGAAAAGAATGGGCCTATATCGTCGGTAGTCTGTACATGAATATAGGTGTGTTTATGCATACGTGCTCTTTATTTACAAAAACATAGGCGCACACACTGACATGTGCATAGAGAGACTCGAATTTTATTGGAAATGGTATTTATCTGCGTCTAAGTTTTGTTTCCGGATAAAGCAATATTTGGAAGAGATAGAATAACACATTTACAAAACATTTGTGGGAGGATCGGAATCCCTCTGGTACAATACAGGTTAGACAACAGCATCAGTTTACGATCAATATGTGGGCTGGAATTGTATGTCTGTATATACACGTGCCCCACGCGGAGAATAATATATCACATATATTTGCACAGCAAGGAAGAGTGTAAGGAGAAAAAAAGAATGGGTATTACATATAATATGGAGATACTCCTGTATCTGGAGAAGCCATGTTTAGGACTCCAGATTCATCTATGTCTCAGACTAGGACATATTCCACGAACAGGAAACAATGAGTCTTGGGTTTTCAGAAATTGAGACCTGCGATCTGGAATTTCTTTCTTTATCTGGGAAATATATATTCCCAAAGGGAAACGGATCTGTGGATTTGTAAGGTGTAAGTGTAGCAGATTTAGCCTCACTCTGGGGCCATTGGACCAGGCTGAAAAAACAGCAACCTTTATGAATTGAAAAATGACTAGCGCTTTCGTCGCTGTATGGAGTGACGTAATTAAGCGGCCGTCATGTGACCCAGTTGATTTATCTCCACCAAAGGGAGATAAGCGCCTTTTGTATCCTTACATTAGTTTCGCGTGTTTAGCAAATTATTTAAACATACACGTCTATATAATTGTCTGATATATTGTTTATTATTTTGTGCCTAAAAATGTTGCCAATGAAACAATGAATCTTTGTCGGCTGGCACAGACCTGGCATGCTTACAAAGATAACATTTGTGTTCTGATAAACTTACATATACGTTGACGTATGGAGCAGGTAAAATTATGCTGGGTACGAGCATACTGATTGAATTTCTTGTGACCTTTTAGACCCACTGAGTATTTACCACATTCTGGGCACGAGTAATTGTTTTCAAAGGGGCAGATCACTGTAGGTTGATTGCATTATGATCAAACGAGAGAAATTAATCCGACATTTGCAAGAGAAGTACGATTACAAAGATTACACGGGAATAGTGCCGTTTCGTTTTCAGCAACTATCAAGCGAGCTCATGGGAAATTCGACGTGATGTAATGGTTAGCAAACTAGTCTCACTGCATCAATTACCACTGAGTAATGAGTTCGATCCTCACTGGGTGCTCACACTTTCGGCCTTGTGTCTCAGATACGATTACTAAATCGGTATAATATTAGATCATTTTCTTTTTTTAATCGCTGCTCGTTACTTTCATATACACACACATACAAAAACATATATATACATACATACTTATACACACACACACACACACACACATATATATATATAAAAAGATATATTAAAAAGGATGAGAATGAAGAAGGGGGGATAAGAAAAGCAATGGTATTATAAATGTATCTGTTGGGAGTTATTTTTTTTTATCTAGCCTCATATGTGCTTCAGAAGAATTTTTAATATCTATGCATCAACGTAAGTTCAGATTTCTGGTTCAATTTCAAAATATTCCTTGGATACGGACCTATATATATATATATATATATATATATATATATATATATATATATAATACATACGTGTATGTATGTGTGAAGTGCACGCGTGTATTGAGCACTTTTAAAACTACTGTTTCCTGTTCTGATTCAACTTTGACCATTAACCTTTTATGTATTTTATATATATATATATATATATATATATATATATATATATATATATATATATATATATATATATGTGTGTGTGTGTGTGTGTGTGTGTGGAAAGGGAGAGGGACAGAAAATAATAATAATAATAATAATACTTGGAAATGCTCATGATATTTTATATTTAATGTTTGTAATACATGAAGGTTTTCAGGGAATTATCAAAACTGCTTTATTTACATGTAGGTTTTCAGAGAAAGTCGTTTTACTTAACTGGTTTTGCTGTGTAGCTTTTCAAAAGTGTGTAAATGTTTATCAGATTATCATGTACAGTCGCAATAAAAGAAAATAACAAGAGACAAAATGGTTTTATCTGTAGCGTATGGTGAGGGAAATATAATCTATTTTGAGAGACGTAACTCTGGTTGTGTCGTGTATTGAGTTTTTTGTTCATATATATATATATATATATATATATATATTTATACACACACACACACATATATATATATATATATATATATATATATATATATATATATATATATATATATACAAAGGAGATGTTGAAAAAATCTTTGTAGGACCGATTAAATTAACTTGTTCATTCAAAAAAAAAAAAAAAAAAATCATTGCGCTGTAATGCTTAACAAGCTGGGGCCTTTGTTCGGTATTTTTGAGCAGTTCATTCGATCCCCACTGAGTGCCCTATATGTGAGGCTTTATACAACAAGGGAATTAAGCTTTCTGTATAAAGTACAATAGACAAAGAGAGGGAAGAATAGAGAGAGAGGCGAAAATAGAGAGAAAGGGAAAAAACGAGCGTGAGAAAGAGAGAGGGGAAATCGAGAGATCGGGAAAGAAAAAGAGGAGAACACACACACACACACACACACACACACACACACACACACACACACACATATATATATATATATATATACAGAGAGAGAGAGAGGGGGAAGTGAAATAGAGAAAGAGATGGAAATATAGAGAGAGGGGAAAAAAGAGAGAAAGGAAAAAGGGACTGTTACATTGATTGATTCGTTTTAATTGCTTATCAACCCTTTATCTGGTTATTTAAAGCCAGAAAATATTTCTTAGATGTCAGAATTTTTTATGGAGATAATGATTTAGCGATATAGATCTTACTAATTAATCCATAGATGTGGTAGGAGACCAGGTGGATTCATACCTTTCCCAAGTGTATTTTCACGTAAATGAATATAACGAACCCAACTGGAATTGGAACTCAGCTTCTCGATTCACAATTCCGTGCCATTATCCATTACACAGTTCGCACATTCAAGCTTACTGCAGCTGGTATTCCTAAACGGTTACCCATCTAGGTAATGACCAGTTTCGACGCTGCTTAACTACGGTAATCGTACGGGAACCGGGGTCTCAACGTGATATGGCCGTGAGCTTAGTGAGACGGAGAAAGCAAATCGAAATTTCAAGTACGCGAAAGCAGGAATGGGAGAAAAGAAGGCCATTAAAGAAGTAATTCGGCTTCGCACGGCACACTTCGTTGTGGTGTAATGGTTAACAAGCTAGAGTCGTAGTTCGGTATTCCTGAGTAGTTAATTCGATCCACACTAAATCTATATCTATAAAAAGCAGTGTGCGTGTGTGTGTGTGTGTGTGTAACGAATACATGGCCGCAATTTTCGACGGATTTGC